AAAAATTCTCAACTTCTTTAACATTTGCGTGTCAAACTTGTTAATCATCTCGTTTGGCTCAACTCAAGAATTCTCTCAACATACCTTAACAAATATGGGGTACTTTTGGGATAAAGAACGTCAAACTTATTACCTCAGGTTGGGCAAACATGGACAAAAGGTGTACAATTTTGATGGTCTTACAAAATTTATTGACTCCACCATTGAGCAACAAGTTAGGGATAATGAACCTATGCAAGACGTGGAACATGAAGCTGGACAAAGGAGTAATCATGTTTATGAAGATTAAGCTAGCATCACTTCATTTCTTCAAAATCTGCTGATTAAACAAGATGCTCAAATGGGATAGCTCCACAATATGTAAGAATATATGATGACCCAATATGCAAACTTTGAGAATTTTGCATCTTTTATCACAAAGAAATTGGTCGCTTTGAAGGACGAAATGGATGAAAATACGGCTTCTATCATTGCAAGGGTCAATCACATGATTACTGCCCAAAAATGAAGACCACCATCATTATACACAATTCTATCAAAAAATGTGCGACTTCTTGGACTGTCAGTTTGGAAACAATGGTCAAGGCTGGTTTCATAGAGTGCACCACTTACTCTTTGCAATTGCCTTTATGTAGTATATGATATATGTGAAATGTGCATCTACGTGATGCTTCTAACGGATTACTTGACTCTTTTTGATGTTGTCAAAGGGGGAGAATATTATGAAGAGGATAATGCACAAATTCAGGGGGAGTTATTCAGTGTATCAAAGAAAAATGCCTATATGATTCAAGTTTTTCCATCACTAAAAAGGGAGAGCCTGTGAGTGCATTCTTCAATCTAGCCATGTTTTGAATACGCCTATATGATTCAAGTTTTTCCATCATCAAAAAGGGGGAGTATGTTAGTGCATTCTTCAATCTAGCCATATTTTGAATGATGTCAAAACTAGGATAGTGTCTTAGCATTTTTGTATATTAGGTGGTATAAACCAAAGTTTAGATGTGCATTGATCATTTTAGCCTTAGAATTTATACAAATGGTTTTGAAAATGATTGGAGATGTCTAGGCATGCTTCATACATAAAAAATTAAGTTTTATGTGTGAATATTGTTGCATAGGCCGACACATACGATTTCAGGTCGACCTATAGAAGCTTTTGCTTCAGCATAGGCTGACACATAGAATTTCAGGCTAACCTTAGAAACTTTTGCTTCAGTATAGGTCGACACATAGAATTTCAGGTCGGCTCCCACGCATCAATATTAAATCCTGTAAGCTCTGCCTATAGGTCCCCTCACTCTGGTCGACCTATTGCTTTCATAGGTCGACTTGTAGCTTTCGAAAACTTAAAATTTTATTATGCATCTTATTTTTCTTGCATCCTCTTTATCTATTTCTATACACACACATATATATACTCATACATGCACATTTTTCAAGTAAGGTACTAGTGAATTACCTAAATGAAACCAGATTACAAAGCATTTTCATCATCTTCAACTTTTCTTCTATGCATACACACAATTGAACTACACATAATCATTTTTCAATTAGGTACCATCTAGATTAAGGTTGATAATGTCCAATTAGATTGGTGTAATCGAGAATATTGGTTTGGGATCTTTGTATGTTTCAAATAAGAAAACCAAGGTGGGGTTTTCCTTCAAGATCATTGGATTTGAAGGTTTTGGACAAGATCACGTCAACATGGATTCGATCGAGTGAAGGCCTTGGAACAAGGTGGTTTTCTTGCAAAGGACTAACGGGAGACGGTGAATCGTGTTTGGGAATCTTGGGTTCAACAAGTGCGTGCTCAGGATAATTGGTGGGTTGTAGTCGCATTGTTGGTGACTTGATCAAACTTTGATAAAGAGTTTGGAGGTGGTTGAATAAACAACAACCATGGGATTTGTGGGGTTAGAGTTCTTCACCTCTTGTTTAAACAATTTTGCAAAGATAAGGTTAATTGCAGGTATCTTAATTCAGTTTCAGATTGAGAACAGACGTACCTATAGCAAGGCCGATTGGAGAACTTCCTAAACAAATATTTGTGTCTTTCTCTTTATTTCTTAATTGTTGTTCTTACAAATTATCAATGTCGTTGTTGTTTCGATTAATTCGATTGAAAATTGCTTTCAACTATCTTTTAAAGTGTTGATATTATCATAATCACTTTGATTGTGATTGACTTTTAACATCAACAAAATACATTGAATTTTTGAACGTGATCGATCGCACACAAAATGCTCGATAAATTATCATTGAGTATTTTTACCGCTTTGTGTTCATTGGAAATAAGTGTTACGAATAGTTTTTCATTTTATTAATCTGTGAACTAATCGTTGTTGAATAATTTTTGTTCATTATCATTCCATCGGTTTTCATTATGCGAGCTTTTCAATAGTATGTTCGGTTAGACGAATCGATTCGGGTTGTTTCTGTTGTGCCATAAATTTTTGAAAACAAATTTTTGACAAAAAATTTGGTTTAAAATTTGTGATATATTCACCCCTCCTCCCTCTAGATCGAAGTCTATCGTCTAATAAGGACTATTAAAAACTCAGCCAAGAGTTCGCCCAATAGTATTAAGAGTTATTAAGTAGAAATAGCTCCCCCAATAATATTAACAACTCTCAAGTAGAAAGAGTTCGTCCAACCAAGGTTGTCAAACTCACGAGTCTAATTAGACTGTAAAGGGTCTGTAGACTTGACTCGCAAACTTGTACGAGTTTATGAAAAATTAAAATGGCATTCAAAAACCTATATGTGACACATACATGACACACACATATATTTTTAAACTTGTAAATGCCTCATATATGATACAAATATATATAATAGAACACCAATTTACATCAAAATTTAAATTTCATACTTCATAATAAATTTCTTAACGAAAAAACTCAATAATAAAACAAACAAAATAGTAAAGTATGTTGTTAAAGACTTAAAGTACAAATTCTTCTTAGTTGGCTTCTACATAAAGCAAAAAGTAAAAAATCATAAAACAAATATGATAATAAATTTAAACATCCAAAGCTCTAGTGAAATCATCACCACCAATATCATCACCATCATCGCCATTGGTATCTTGAGTATCATCATCAAACTCTGCTCCAGATAAAACAGCTTCTTCATCATTAACCAAAGTTAGATTGCTTGATGTTCCACTTCCACCTAATTCAACATTACCACCACCACCACCACTACCGCCACTTTGCACAACATTAGTAATAACAAAGTCAACTTCCACATCATTATTAACAATAATATCATCTTTCTCAATGTTATATTCATTTTGTACATTTTCTTCATTAGGATCTTCAGCTATCCATTCATCATCTTTACGTAAGTTAATATACTAGAGAAACATCCAAGTGAAACATATAAGAAAATACTTACACAACAAATGATTGATTTACGGGAACGAACGCGAACAAAGTAAGAGACAGAACAAACACACTTCGTCGTTGAACAAAGGAAGAAACTTTGGTGAAACAGTAGATTGGGAGAGAGGTTTTATAATTCTCATACAAGCACCAAAACGGATTTATTTTTAATAAAATAAAATATTTTGGGGAGTTCGGGCCTTTTTCAGAATTAAAAAAAAAAAAAAATTCAAAAAACTTATAGACTCATAAACTCGCGAGTCTATACGATTTTGTGCGAGTCTACCTAAGTCTACTCGAGTCTGTCAAGAAACGATTCTATGTGCGAGTCTACTCGTTTTTACTTCCTAGACTCGTAAATTCGTACGAATTTACGAGTTTACCTGCGAATTTTACAACCGTGTGCCCAACTATCAAAAGATCGTTTAATTATCAAGAGTTCAGCTAATTATCAAGAGCTCAATCGAGAATGGGAAGAGTGTGCTCAACTATCAAAGTTCTCCCGATCCAGGTATCAAGTGTCCGATCAACTATGAAGAGCTCAACTAAGAGAAGTGTTCTCCTAAGGTTAAGACTATCATGAGTTAGGCTAGGAGTATAAGCGTTGATTAACTTTAAATACATGGAATGCTCATATATATATATATATATATATATATATATATATATATATATATATATATATATATAGAGAGAGAGAGAGAGAGAGGTTACGATTGAGCTTCATTGGCCTCCCCTGGCTATGAAGTAATAAGAATGTGCTCTTTGCTAATATATTATTATTTTATCATTAAAAAATTATAATAAAGCACATAAAGAGATTCATACTATAATACAACCGGTGGGTATTTTAAAATTAAAATGACCCTTATTTCTTCCTTGGAGCGACTTTTTCTTTGTAATGTGCTCCTCATTCCTTCCTTAAGCCACCTAAACGGTCATATTATATGACTTGTATGAATAATATACCCTTAGCTTTTGAACTTTGAGCATGCAACTTAGTAATACTATTTTATAAATATGTAAATTCACTTTGTTTCCACATTCACAGACCCTCCATTCCTATATTAGTATTGATATTGAGAACGTGGGTGAAAAACATATACACAAATATTCAATCTCATTTACCATACAGACAGCACTATGATTAAATATATGAAATTCATTGTGACCACTGTGTCAGTCAACAAATGAGTTCTTGCCTTAATTCAGAGATTATTATTGAAATGAGACAGTTTGGTGGCTTAGAGACTTCATTGTCCATTCATGACTTCGTTCTTGCCTCTCTTGTTTCTTTTATAGATTTGTTTGTAAAGGTTGAATTGGTGATTGTTTAACAGCTTCAAATATAACTAGAGTCTATGGAATGTATGCATAGAAAAAGCAACAGATAAACTTTGATTCATCCACTATTTTTTAACAAAAAACATTTCAGAATGCATCATTGTCACACATAAAGGAGACTAATACTAATTATAAAAAGTCGGGGAACTCTTCTGTTCAAGGGTCATTGATCTCTGTCGTGAGTCAAATCTATGACCAGTTCAGAAGTTTAAATGTTCTTAAATACTAAAAATAAGAAATGTGTCTGAAACATGTAAAATTGTTTTATGGCTCCGGTTGCATGTTCTCACATTCTTCTCGAATTTTCTGGAAAAGAACAGTGGACAGATATCTTTCACCAAAGCTCGGGAATACAACCTGCAATAAATAAAATTTGTGGGCATTAAAATGTAAATAGAGTTTCTTAACTCAAAAAAAAAATTGAAATTCTATGAAAAATGTCTACCGCAATAAGCTTTCCCTCATTTTCAGGTCTCTTAGCAACCTGCAATGCGGCGGCAGCAGCAGCACCTGAAGAAATTCCCACCTGTTTTCCAAAAGTAAGAATGTATGTAAGAACCTAAGTATAAAGCCAAGTCACACATACGAATGGAAAGATTATGTGCACTGGAATGCATAAAGAAATGCGAGTCACATAATCGAGTGAAAAGAACTAACCAGCAAGCCTTCTTGGAGTGCTATTTGCTTCGTAGTTTCGATAGCTACATCACTCGATATCTGCCAAATACAAGAGATGGGAGTTAATTATTGAACTGTTATAGTATACAATTAGTTATCATTTGTATAAGTTAAACGGACTTTTGCTTAACTAACTTCATTCTAACTGACTGTGCGGTTAAGTTAGTTTAGTGCTTAATGTAGTTGAGTTAACAGAAACAGTTTCTGTTCAGTGTATAAATACTCAACCTGTATGTACTCACTCAAATAACAATTGCTTACTTTTCTCTATTGAATTCTAACAAATAGAAATCAAGAAAATATTGGCATTTTCTGTTTATCCTTGCTAGGCGAAGCCTGTACAGCTATAAATTCACGGAAAAATAGTTCACCGAAACTAGCTTCAAATGTTAAGTACCGGTCTTAAGTTAGGAAAGGAGTAGCAACCACCAGATTTAGAAAACGCCAGTGTATGAAGAAATGTTTAATATTGACCAAGATATTGTGCTCGAGCTGTTAGACAGAGATGCTTAAAGAGCAACAACTGAAACCTAACGTCTAGACGGACTTTGCATAATCCATTCTTATCGAGAAAATATATTCTCTAATGTGTGAACAAAAATGAAAATATCAGCAAAAATTACCATGAAATAGATGATAAATCAGATCATCAAAATCCAGGAAAAGGTGTGACAATTAATACATGTAAACTAGCTTGCGCACACATGCAGTATGCATGTGAGACAATCAGAAGAAAATGTTTTCATAAATCAGAATAATGCATTCGATTTTGATTATCACATAAAAAGAAAATGACAACATCGAAGTATAAGAACAGACCGCTATAACTTCATCAACCACTTCTTCATCCAAATTCCCGGGCACAAAACCAGCCCCAATACCCTGAATTTTGTGAGGTCCTGTGATTTAGCAGGAAAAGGGAAATAGATAAAACCTCTTTAAAAAAGTAAAAATTAACATAATGGCCTTGGAATTGTAGAAACATATTTCTATTTCTTACCTGGCTTTCCACCCGAGAGTATGTTGCTTTCTAGAGGCTCTACACCAATAACCTGAATCGTAAAGAAGAAAATGTTTAATGGAATTGGAAACCAACAAAGTAGAAAGTTTCCTTTGAAATTAAATTATAGTTCAAGGGATAGGACATGACCAGTACATGGAGTACAAATATCCATTTACACCAAGTATTTTGCAAATAATACCCCATATGAATTGAAATTAAAATTTACAAGACACATCATTTTGCAATGCCATTGAAAATCATTTACCTGTACTTTTGAATTTTGTTGTTTTAGGAATCTACCGGCTCCAGAAATGGTTCCACCAGTTCCTATTCCTGCAACTAAAATATCTATTTTACCTCTTGTATCTTCCCATATCTCTGGCCCAGTTGTCTCAAAATGTATCTGCACAGATGATCCAAATTTCATATATTATACCACACTGTAGCTCACCATGCTAGAAGTAGAATTCCGTCAGTGACATGTCCATCATCTTGAACTTAACTAAACTCAAAGGGAACAAACAAATATCGGCATACAATGAACATTTACCCAATTCCTTCTTTCCTTTGTATATCAAGCAGACTAGTGCCTAGGAGCCAAAATTAAAATAAATTAATTAATTAAACTAGGTGACTCAGTAACTGTGTGGAACTCTATAACTAACTCTTAACATATAAATTTGTGTCCCATTTGTAATGATAAATTGTTCCGAAAGAACATAATAGAAGGATTTGGGAGAGTTTGCCAAGTGCTTTGGTGATTACCAGAAAGAAATGTCCTCTAAAAGCCCATGAAGAAAAAGCAGGGAAAAAAACCAAGTATGAAAAAAAAAATTGTTTATCGTTAATGTTGACAGCTTGCTGATTTGTAAAAGAAAGTGAAAATGCATAAGGATTTGTGGTTTTCTTAAACTTAAAGTGCATGTGAAGTTATTTACAATGGTATATCTGAAATATTATCACGCACATCATACCCTGTGAGAGAGTAAACCAATGATGGGTCTGATGAAGTCCTCATTGTCTACAGAATTTTAAGGTTAGACCTAGTTTATGCTAGGGTACACATTAATAAATGGTGTGTCTTATAAAAATTTATCTTTTGATAGGTATTGTCCTGTGTATGGAATACTAAACTTAAAAACCAGCTATACACTTGACACTGTTAGATGCTGATTTAAGGTTTTTTACATATACCAAGAAAATCAACAAATTGTGTTACTTTTGATGCATTTTCTTGTAATACCCTTAACTATTTATTATCTCATTACACCTATTAATCTCTCTGCAACAAATACTTAAAGGGATTACTAACAAAACAATAATTAATGGTGTATTAAACTTTGAAAACTACAAGTAAATAGAAACAAATAATTTCTTCAAAATGACAAGTAAAAAGTAACTGGGGGAAAACAAAAAAATTCTACAAAAGTGACAAGTACAAAGGAACTGAGGGGCCACAATACGTGGAATATACATAAGATTATAGTTAAATATATAAAACACTAAGATTGGGGAGTCGAACACAGGCCCTGAGAATTGGAAATCGCTCCTTAGCTACTGAACAACTCTACACTGTTATATAGTGCGATAGGAATAGTATATATACATAATTACATATAAATATAATGATAGGTATAGTCATCTATTAAAAATAAGAAAATTTTGGTGGCCATGGCCACTCTCTGCCCCTAAGAAGGTCCGCCTCTGCGAGGGAGTACATAATAAGGGCTTTGGAGTTGAGGTAAGCTCTTTGGTGTGTTTGGGAAAACTAGTTTGGGGGTTTTGGTCAGAAAATGGAGGACAGAGTGGGTGGCAATAGGTATGCTTTTATTTGGTGCCTTTGGCTAGAGTGATGAGCATGAATCGTTACGGGAAAATCTCTTTCCTTAGCCTTGCTTTGCCTTAAATTGATCTGCTTCTATATTTGTATTAACCTAGACTTTGAGACTTCTGTTTGAAACACAGATTTCAACTAAAATAAAAGAAGAACAAATTACCAATATCAATTACTACAGCACAAGGGCCAAACTAGGAGCAAATGGTGCACGTTGCATGAGTTTTTCAAGAACATGGGACCCGTGTACTTGCGATAAAATTAGATGTTGTCATTTACCTTAGGATTTGAAGGATTATCAAATTGTTGAAGCATGTATGCATCGGGCGTATTTTTTACAATTTCTTCAGCTTTTTGAACTGCTCCATTCATACCCTTCGCAGCTGCGGTCAAAACAAGCTCAGCTCCAAATGCTTTCAAAAGAACGCGTCTTTCCAAACTCATGGAAGCGGGCATCGTCAAAATGAGTTTATATCCTTTAGAAGCTGCTATAAAGGCCAGACCAATTCCTGTGTTCCCACTAGTAGGTTCCACCAAAACACTCTGAAGTGCATACCAGAAACAAGTTCACTAAGAGTGACAAAAAAGGATTGAAGCAACATTGAATTTATATAGCCATAAAAGAAAAGAAACCATGGCACAATCAAGTTAAGTCTACAGAGTCCTTTTCCAAAAGAATAACATAATGCTCACACATAGACGCAGGTTGCAGCACAAAAGCAAAGGAAATTCATTGCTTCATTACACTCCAAAGCAAAGACTGTGGCATGCCAAAACACGTTAAGTTGTAGTTTCTAGAACTATCAAAACTAGTCGATATGACAGTACATAACATGCCATATGATTATGCAACAATGTACTGTCAATAGTCACACACACCTCACTTAAACCCAGAATAGGGCATATAAGTATGAACTCCCACAACACTAAAATTGCTTATATGCAGTCACACTATTCCCGCCTAGTGGGAAAAGAATTTGTTATTATTTTGTATATGCAGTCTCACTATAAAAACATAATATATTCCAGAGCAATGGAAGTAATATCTTGGCAAAAGGCATGTGAATTGATCAACTTATCCTTGTTAATAGAATTTCTTCCGTAAAGGGAAAGAATGATTGTAGAGAGATAACATTTTTTTAATATGAACAAGAAATTAACAAATAACAATCCACATGATTAGTCTTATTTACAGTAAACCCGGAAGTTATGATAAGAACGTGCAGCACATGACAAGAAAACAGATGTAAATATAAAACATCGTAAAGAGCAACAGTGCTAAGTGCAGCTACTATTTCAACACTTTTTAATTTCTACAAGAAATAAAAGAACATTATAATAAACAATATTATGGAACAAATGAATCCCCTTTGTATTATTCACACCCATTTATTTAATTTGGTGTCCTCAACTAACTAATTAATCCTAACTACTTTGCCAAACCCCCTTTTATCTACCCTTCTATTCTATCCACGGTAAACACACTATAACATCCATAAATGAACATGCATCCTTTCCATTGTAGTTTACCTTCCCAGGTGTTATGGCTCCTTTCTTCTCGGCATCAAGTATCATACTATGACCTATCCTGCAAGAACGTAAATAGGAAGCAATAAACAGCAAGATAGAGATAGATTGAACCTCTTATATGCAAACTTATGTGGACATATACTAAGGCTTTGTTAGGATAAAAAAGACAACTAAGGGCTTATCATTGAAGTGCTTATATAAAAACAATTTATGAAAGTGAAGATAAAATACAGTCTATGGACATGTCATGGTGTTCCCATAAGCTCTATGAAACAGTCTTACAATAAACTCAAAAAGGAAATCCAAACATCCCTAATACCTGAGCTATTAAACAACAGCATATATATCACACTATTAGAGAACCAACTATGGAAAGGAAAAACAAAGCAGCGTTGATTTTGTAACCTGTCTTTGACACTGCAACAGGGCTCCATAATCTCGAGTTTAGCAGCAATATTAGCAACGGAACCCTTTGTGATACTATTCAGGTAAACCATTGGTGTTTTACCTATGAGCTGTGCAAAGGAGATTCGTTATTGAAATGGAATGCTTAATCATCACGCACAACAGAATGAAAGGGAAAAAAAACAGTGTGAAACCGAAACCGACCTGAGTAACGTTCTCGGCAATGTTGAGACCTTCTAGGGTGGTTTGGGATTCGACGGAGACGGCTTTGCATAGAACGGGAGAAGGCGAAGAGATCCTGGTGGAGATGGGACGAGGGAGGTTAGCGAATCGGAGGGATATGGTTGGGGTGCGGCGAGTGAAGTAGTGAGGAGTGGGAGTGCGCGAAGTGAAAGTCAACGGATTGATTAAGGAAGTGGAAGCCATTGTTGTGTGGTGAGAAAGGTGAGACAACGTTGTGAGGTATTGGGAGGAGATTTGATAGGAAATTTGATTTATCCTATCAACAATTCACCACTGACTTTTCCGTTTATATTCGTCTACAATTATGGGACTTCACCTGGGCGAGGAGGCAATGGGGAACAAAGCTCCTTATTATTATTATTATTTATTATTATAATTAATAATCAAATGAGCGGGTGTCACCACCGGCAACATCGACTCTTGGACTGGGTCTGAGGCCATGGGTGTAGAGGCGTTAGTGGCGGTTTGTAGGTGGTCTTTGAGCACTTAGGCATAGCACATCAGAGCAATTGAGATACTCATTGCGTTATGAGGGGGTGGTCGGCCTTCGGCCGATTTCATTATTGCTCTCGTTTTGGTCGGTTCATACGTTTGAATGAATTCAAAAAGAAGCAACACTTCGTAAAGTGGTGTGGAATGAAAATAGGCAATGTTTGAATACAATGCAATTTTTAGTGAAAATACTGTTAAAAATGTGTTGTTTCATCAAGGGTCGCAACCTTGTGAAACAACACATATATGGCCTATAAATACTTCATTCTGAATCCAGAAAATCACATCACAAACTGAATATCCTCTTGAACAAATTTCAAACTCTCTTCGCTGCAAATCGAGTTTTTATCGATCTTGCGCAAATTTGATAAGGTTGAATTATCTTGGGTATTCTTGCGTTCTAACTCTAAGACATATTTAAGAGTGTTTGATATACTTTTAAGAAAAGTGATTTCGCTCACGACTCAAACCTGGATCCATTTGATCTTAACAGTTTATCTAACAACCTTAAAAGTATTCCAATAATGGGTCTCGAGGCTGCAGTTTCAACCATCAAAGTCATGAATTGGATCGCTTTAACGAAACTCATTTTACCCGATGACAAGATAAAATGACATTCTTAGTGACTGCCTCGAAAGTTCATTATGCCTTAGATCTTGACTTAACCCCAATTCTTGAACCAACTAAGAACGACCCTAAAGAATTCAAGAAGGATCATAATAAAACGTAAAGATAACGAATTTTATGTCATGGACATATTCTGAATACGTTGTGTGATCGTCTCTAGGATCTTTATACGGATACTCAATCTGCAACAGAACTTTGGAAGACACTCGAGTTTAAATTTAAGGTCGAAGAGGAAGGTATGAAAAAGTTTTTAATTTCTAAATACTTTGATTTTAAATTTATAGATTTCAAGTTCATTATACCCTAAGTGCGCGAGTTACAAGTTCTCGTAAATAAAATAAAAGTTGTGAAAATATACATTATTGAGACCTTTTAAGTTGGTGCAATCATTGCAAAATTACCACCTTCGTGGAAAGGCTATAGAAAGAAATTGTTGCATAGTTTTGAGAACTTCTCTCTAGAGAAAATTCAAAAGCACGTTTGAATCGAGGAGGAATCGAAGAAAAGGGAGAAATCAGAATTTATTGGTCTTTCCAAAGCCAATGTTGTGATCACCAAAGGAAAAAAAACATAATGGCATGAATAATCATTTTGGACCTAAAAAGGAACATAAAAAGTTCAAAAATTATGGCGGTCTGAAAAACGACTATTTTCTATGTGGAAAACCTAGCCGCTATGATTCAGATTGCAGGCACAACAAGTTAAAAAATGAGATCAATGTAGTTCATACAAATGACGACATAATTGCTACGGTGAGCAAAATAATGGCAATCAAAGGCAAAGTGCAATGACGGTGGTATGACACATGTGCTACAGTGCATGTCTCTTATGATAATGCTGCTTTTAAAACCTATTATGAGGCAGGTGATGGACAGGAAGCATAAATGGAGAATGAAGTACGATTTAAAGTTGTTGGAACCGGATTCGTCAAACTCAACTTCACTTTCAGAAAGAAAGTCACTCTTGTTAATGTGTTTCATGTCCCCGACATAAATAGGAATCTTATTAGTGGTGATTTATTGTGTAAATCGATAATTAAATATGTATATGAATCAGACAAATTTATATTGACCTGTAATGGTGTATTTATAGGAAAATGATATTTCGCTGAGGGAATTATCAAACTATGTATTACCGACAATATTATTAATGAAATCTCTAATTCTGCTTACATGCTTGAGTATGTTTCTTTATGGCATAATAGATTAGCATATACCAATATTAGTTTTATGAATAGACTAATTAAATCTGGTTTGATCTCATGTAATATAAATTATTTCGAAAAATGTGAATTATGAGTTAAATCAAAAACGATTAAGAAACCTTTCAAAAGTGTTGAAAGAAATACAAATTTCCTTGATCTTGTACATTCAGATTTGTGTGAGTTTAATGGCATGTTAATCCGTGGGGAAATAGACATTTCATTACATTCATTGATGATTCTTCTAGGTTCACATATGTATATCTTTTAAGACATAAAGGTGATGTTTTTTATGCCTTTAAAATTTACAAAGCATCAGTAGAAAATCAATTAAATAAAAGTATCAAAGTCTTTAGGAGTGATAGGGGCGGTAAATAGTTTTCTAAAGAATTTGATACGTTTTGTGAAGAACGTGGCATTATACATGAAGGCTCTGCACCTCGCACGCCACAACAAAATGGTGTAGCCGAGAGAAAAAAATTGAACATATCAAAAGATGATGAATGTCATGTTAATACATTCCAAATTGACATTTAATTTGTGGGGTGATGCCTTACTAATCGCTTGCCACATAATTCCTTTAAAGAAAACTGGTATTTTCCCATATGAGTTATGAAAAGACAAGATGCCAAATATTTGTTACTTTAGAGTGTGAGGGTGTGTAGCCTACTACAAAAACATGGATCATAAGAGAACTAAATTGGATCCTTGAGGGATAAAATGTGCTTTTATATGATATGCACCAAATAATAAAGCATATAGACTTTTTAACTTATACTCTAATGTAATTATTGAATCCCGAGATGTATAATTATTTGAAAACCTTAATTCTAAGGATAAAGAATCTGAGTCTTTCGCAAACAAATAATATCGTGAGGAAGATTCTTCTCGGAGTATCGAGATACAGCCCGAAAGTACTTCTCGGATCATTGAAACACAACCTGAGTCTTGGATAAGCAAGAGAGTCTGAAAAACAAAGGATTTAGGACCAAACAAAATCTATTCTTAACTTATTTACTTTTATCTAGTTGAAAGAAACTGTTAGAATCATGTTCAAAATATTCCTATTATTATTCAAGTAGAAAATGATCTTAAAACTTACAAAGAAACAATGGCTTCAATGGACTCTTCCTTTTGGAAGGATGCTATCTGAGATGAAATGGATTCAATCATGTCAAATCACACTTAGGAACTTGTTAACTTACCAAATGGATCATGGTCCATTGGATGTAAGTGGGTGCTTAAAAATAAGTATCATATTGATGATATATTAAACACATATAAGGCAAGATTAGTAGCAAATGGATTTAGACAATAAGAGGGTTTTGATTACTTTGACACATATGCACCAGTGGCAAGAACAACAATAATTAAAGTATTTTTCACCTTAGCCTCTTTGAATGACCTTATAGTTCATCAAATGGATGTTAAGACAACATTCTTAAATGGAGATCTTGATGAGGAAATCTACATGAAACAACCAGAAGGCTATGTGCTTCTTAGAAATGGACAAAAGGTGTGTAAACTTGTCAAAATAATGGCATCAAAAATTTGATTATGTCATACTTTCAAATGGATTTACCCCAAATTCTTGGGATTAGTGTTTATATACAAAGGTATAAAAAATATTATAAATTTATTTGCCTATATGTTGATGACATGTTGATAACTAGCAACAACATGGATGGAATTTTAAAGACAATAATGTTTCTAACTTTCACATTTAAGATGAAAGATCTTGGATTAGCTGACACAATATTAGGGATCAAGGTAAAGAGATATAGTGGGGGTTATGAACTTATTTAAACACATTATATTGAAAAAATGCTTGATAAGTTCAAACACCTAAACTTTAAGGAAGTAACCACTCCATTTGATCATGTCATTAAACTTTAAAAGAACGATGGAAGAGCAGTTGCTCAATTAGAGTATGCAAGTGCAATAGGGTGCTTTATGTACTTATGCAACGTACCAGACTTGACATATCATTTGCAGTTAGTAAAATGAGTAGATTTACTAGTAATCCAAATAAATAACATTGGAAGACAATCACAAGGATTTTCGGCTATCTACAAAAGACCAAAAATATTGGCCTTCACTATAGCAAGTATCCCACCATAGTAGAAGGATATACCGATGCAAGTTTGATATCCAATGTTGGAAATCATAAATCCATATATAGGTGGATATCTACACTAACTAGAGGAGCAATTTCTTGGAAGGCCAAGAAACAAACATGTGTTATTCTTTCAATCATGGAATCAGAGTTTGTGGCTCTTGCTTCCGCTGGTAAAGAATAGGAGTTGTTGAGGGACCGTTTATTAGAAGTTCCATTGGCAAAAGACAATGTTTCAAAGATGTTAATACACAGTGATGTCCAAGCCACTTTAGCTAGATCAATAAGTGAATTATATAATGAAAAGTCTAGAGACATAGGACACTGACATTCCTTTGCGAGAAAATTGATTAAAGATGGAATTATTTCACTCAATTATATATAAACGAGCTATAATTTGGTTGATCCATTTGCTAAACCACTGGCCAGAGACTTAGTAAAAACAACCTTGATAGGTATGGGGTTGAAACTTCTTAAGTAAGGGTTTCGACAGTGGGGAAAACTCAATCCTACGTTAACAGAACATTAACCTCAAGATTTAATGGGTAATAACAAGTTGTTGATTCGGATATTTGTCAAACATTTCGTGATAATGTTGATGTTTAAAACAAGGGTTTAGTTTTTATTTAAACTCTTAATGAAGTTCATTACCTAAGGTATGGGTGGCAAAACGGGCCTCCCGCCCCACCCCGCCTTAAGCCCGCAAAAAAAAAGTGGGGCGGACAAGCCTGCCAAGTGGAAATAGGC